CAGTCCCACTGATTTTTATTAGAGACATTTAAGAACATGTGACTCTCCCACTGAAATCAACAGAACTCAAAATCCCTTGTTTTCAAAATAATATCTATAAGAGACACACATCAAACAATGTTTAAGAGTATGGCAAGAAGTTAGTTAAAAATCTAAATCACATGCTTTGATTATCATGGTGCTAAAGTCACTCTACTACATAATCATGACATTATTAATCAAAACTATAAGGTTTAGAAGCTTTATAAAACAGTAATTCACAGGACAAACTAGTCCTACACAGCATAGGTTTGTGTATTTGGCTCTGTTTTGCCGGGGGGGGGGGAATGACCCCTTAAAGGATCAGGCAATAGGGTAGACACTACCATTCCGGATGCCGTTCACAAGAAAGAGAGACATGCCAAGGGGCTTATGAAGTTAAGAAGCTAAGTGAGGTGAGTGTAAGTAGGGACAGATTTCAGAGCTAACAAGGCTGAGGAACAGGGAGAGAGTAGCAGATCTACGAACAAAATGGGAGCAATACAAGGTAAATAATCCAAGTGCTTCACACAGGGAGTACTTCATGACATAGGCAACATTTCCTGACAAGAAAGGAAAATGTATTAGGATCAGGGATAGGTAGGGACCAATCAGGCATGGAAGCTGCTGAGAAGCTAGGGGCTGATGAAACTGCATGGGGTACAAGAGGCTCAAGAGTTCTGAGGAAGGTTGCTTAGAGAGTAAAGCAGCAGCTCAGCTCTCAGGTTCAAGATTTCACATAGTTTAAAGTTATGACAGCTCTCATAGGTTAATATTGAGATTTTATGCCTTGATTCACATGAATCAGTGAACCATTCTTAGTTGCAGGTGATATTGCTTTACAAGTAAAACATTATTCTCTTTAATCTGAGACAGAGACTGGAAATGCAAACTATTGTCCGTTTTCCCACTCTACATCCCAAGCCATTAAAGAGAGTTCCCTAACCCACTGAGCAACTTTTCAGTGGTAACAAGAGCCTGCAGCAGGAAGGGGAAGGCAGAAAAATCCAAGTGCATGAGCAGAATTCCACTTGTGCTGCTTTGGATACCATCCAATATTTTCATAAAACTAAGGAAGCTGAATGTTCAGCAATACTTGGGATTCTTACCATAGTCTTGTGCCTTCCCCACCTGAAATTAGGAAAAACACACTTACCATTTTCTTTGCTCTTAAACTGCTTCTCAAGAACGTTACAGAGGCAAGGAGATAACGTCTTTTAGGCACCAAAAAGCTCACACACAGTTGCTTGGTATCTGCTCATTCTGCAACACACAAAGTATCTGTTCAGTCCACACTAAATAAACAAACATACACAGATTCCTAGCTAGTTGCCGCCTCCTCTTCTCTCTATAGAGGGAAAAAGAAAAGGAATGTGCAAGCAACATAGATGGAACAGGACAGAAATCTAACAAGCTAAAATGCAGAATACAACAGTGATTAGTTTTTCAAACACTGGATATCCTGTTAGGAATCAGGATTAAAGTTTTTTAGTCCTTAGGATTGTACTGTTAATAAGTCACTATAACTCAGAAAGTTTTTTAGTACAGTGCAATCTTAAGCAGAAATCAATGAAGTCAATGTGTTTAGAAGCATATAACTGTCCTTAGGGTTGTACTGTTAATAAGTCACTATAACTCAGAAAAACCTTTTGACTTTCAACTATTAAAGAGACTGTCAATGGGGTTCTTGTTTTGAGACAGTAAAATTAATAAGAGTTGTTCTACAGAATAAAAAAACCTCGAGGATCAGTGCATAAACTTGTTCAAAACTTTGAAGTACATTAATGGTAACACTCCACTGAATTCTATAGGGTTTTTATAGTATGTTAGTAGGATCATGGCGGCAATATACACAGAAGCTTTAACAAATGGCTAAGACTTGAATTTTGGGGGTGCAAGGTAAGTAGGGCAGATTAACTGACCCCAGTTTCCCCAGACAACAAGCTTCCAAATTAAATGCTTCTATCAGCACAACCAGTAATATATATTCTAAGTTATGACAATGTAGAGTAGGAAGTAAGACAGATTCTGTGGCTTGGACTCAGAAAGTAACTGTAGATACACCACCACACCATGTCACACACTGCTTTGGAAAAAGTCTCCTAAGTTTTGCCAGTTGTTTGCCACGTGGTACAAAGAGGAGGGCATTGCTGTTCAAGTTCAAAGCCTCATTGGCCAGTCATACTTAGTTACATTATTGTTGAATCTCAGCCTGCTCCCAGCAGGACTACTTTGTTCAGGCAAAGGAACAGTTATCATTCTTTCGGAAATTTTGAGGCAAGTTAGGAATTTAGAAACAGCATCAGATACATGGGAGAAAGCAGAGGCAGAATAGAAAAGAGTATTCAGTTGTCATTTTGTGGGCTCCTAATAAGAGCCAAATATCAGATCTAAAGGACTTATTATCTGTGAAACTTACCAGATTGTCTATGTAATACACAAGTAAATTCTGGCTAGTACTACCCTCATAAAGCTGTGCAAATTATTTAACTAGTTAGGGACTGGTCCTGGCTGGTCCTGCATTGGGCAGGGGGTTGGACTAGATGTTCTGTATGGCCCCTTCTAACTCTATGATTCTATTACTTTTATTTGAAATAGTATGATTTACACATGTACATAAATACATTATTCACAGTGACTTCCACAAAAGGGGAAAAAAATCTTAAAATGTAAGAAAAAGAAAAGAGAACAAGAAGTCAACCATTATGAATCCTCTTGCTCATATGAAACATTATTCCATGTACACTGGTGATTGAAACATTGCAATATAATCCTGAACAGTTACATTCTTCTACACTGATTGGTTTCCAATTGATTTAGAAGGTTATAATTCTGCTTTGGATTACATTTTTAGACAAGGATCTGGGAGACACTCAGACATGAAACTTACTGGGTACCTTCACAAGGTTTAATGCAAAAGTGATGGGGGACAGAACAACCAGTGCCTGGAGCTCCTTGGTGGAAAAACACAACAAAAAAGTATAGGTCAATAGCTTGTGATACCATTTGCACAGACTGACTGGAGATCTTCTTGGATCAATCATTCTCACTCAGCCTAATCTATCTCACAAGGTACCTTCACAAGGCTTAATACAAAAGTGATGGGGGACAGAACAACCAGTGCCTGGAGCTCCTTGGTGGAAAAACACAACAAAAAAGTATAGGTCAATAGCTTGTGATACCATTTGCACAGACTGACTGGACACATATCAGAACTATGAATCTTATTTTTATCTGGCACTGGCAGTTCTTCCTCAGCCCTTGGGGTCACTGCTCTCCATGCTTGAGCAAATTTTAAATCTGTCTCCTTTAAAAGTTATGCTAATACGACACTGCAATATGGGCAGTTTGCAGGCAACTATGAAGAATGATACAACTCTCAGGAATGTACTCAAGTGCTCTAACTACAGAGTTACCACACCTCAGTGACCTTTCCGGTTTGATTTAACACCCTTGCAACAAAACTGGCCTGGTAAAAGGTGGAAATGTCACCTGAATTAAGCCCCAACACAAGTATAAGGTCCTGAGTAGAGTTGAAAGCAGCTAAGAACAAAACAAGGACAAAGAGCTTTATTGGTATTTTGCACCTTAGAGACCAACGAGGTTTTCCAGGTATGAGCTTTCAAGAGTCAAAGCTGTCTGATGAAGGGAGCTTTGAATCCTGAAAGATCATACTTCGAAAATCTTGTTGGTCTTTAAGGTGCTACTGGACTTGAATCCAGCTGTTAATATCCTAGTCAGATGCTCTAACCACTACACCACACTAGCTAAGAGAGATCCACTGGCCCAAGGTCATCACATAAGATCACTGTACATGCACCAGCTTCTACATACAAACATTCTAGGGGACAGACGCCCAAGTGTTCTGTGTAATGTTTGAGGTTGCTCCAAGTTGGAGACAAAATACTGAAGGACCAAAAGTTTACCCAAGAACAGCAACCTATATAAACCCCAGAATTAGAACTAGTTTCGTGCTGTGGCTAGTGCTGGATACAGGAGACCTGGATTCAGAGCCTTGCTCTGCCCTGAAGCTTGCTGGGTAGCCTTAACTTATTGCACAGTATTCGCTTGAGACTAAAATGTGATAAGTCTACCAACTCCACCCTGATCTTTTTGGAGAAAATAAAATAAAACAAAAGCTTGGTAACCAAAGTTATACTGTGCTAAGGGCTGTTCAGGGGTGACAACAAGGCCCCTAACTCAGACGGCTTGAATGCCATGTTAGCCAAAATGGGGATATCCGATTGAAAAGCAGTTAGATGGAAGCACAGCTCTCCACACAAGAAGGGGGGAAAGAGAGCTGCAGAGAAAAACAGGCAGTACCTTTCCAGGTCAAATCCTATATTCCCAATCTATACAAACCTATGCTGGAGAGGGGGACCTCTCTTGCTTTCCTGTTTTCAGCCTTTCCAGTAGTTCCCTCTCCCCACAGATCATCCCATCATTGCCCACCCAGCTCCCCCAGTCGTTCACTCCTATGCAGCAATCATCTTTCTGCCTACCCCGCGAAGGCTTCATAGGCAATAAGCAGCTAAACACACAGTCTCCGAAGAGCGAAAGGACCGCGCAGGTAGCGGCGGCTCTAAGAAGCCTGGCTTGGGCAGCCTCCTTCCCCCTTACCTCAATCTACGGCCGCCTCGCGAAGGTTCCGGCAAAGCTCCTACGTTGGCACAGCGGGAAACGAGGACAAGCTATAGACAGAGCTACCTGTGACCCAGCTGCGGACTCCTGAGAGGAGGAGGAGCAGCCGCAGCAGCAGCAAAAGGTGAGCACCAAGGAGTACGAGCGCCTAGAGAGGACCGACCCAACAGGCTTTCTACCACAGACACCCAAAAAAGGGCTAGAACAACCATCCACCCGGAGCTCAACGGAAGCGGAAGTTGATACCAAAGTCCTCTCACTAAAATACTCCGGGTGCGTGCTCCCATCAAGGTCACTCCTCCTACATGCACGTGTAGGTAGTGGGGACCGGCGCGCGCTACTGGAGGGATGCTGGGCACGACGGCGGGAATGGTGGTAACCGCGCCTGGGCTGTCAGGGAGGCCCGTGGTGCTGGCGGCAGCCGTTTCGTCTGTCTTGTGGCGCGCGGTGCGAGGCCTAGCAGGGCAAAGCCAAAGGCGTCTTTGCCCGGCAGAAGGTTCCTTCCCTCTGCGAGTCCCGGAGGCAGACGAAGCAGCCCGGGCAATCCTGGAAAACTCTCGGGCACCACCCCCACTGCGAAGGTTCATCGCCTGCCCCGACCTGGCACGTACCGTGGTCTCTCGACTGTGTCACAACTCAGTCCTGGAGCCCACCAGCAGGCGCCCGGCAGTCGTGGTGGAATGCGAGCCAGGTGAGGGAGTCACTTCGTCCTTCGGCGGATAGGCATTCTGTTCAGGGGAGCGTTTGAAGTAGCTGTTCCTTGTTATTTGCTTAATATATTTTATCCTGCATTTCCATCCAATCAGGGCCCTCAAGGCAGAGGACGATTAAAAAAGAGCATTGAAAACAAGCTTCTAAAACGGTACACATATATAAAGCAGTTAAAAACATTGCAAGTATAGATAGATACTGCTTCGGTGGGAAGGTAACAGCGTTTTGTGTGCCTTGGCGTTTAGTAAATGGAGATGAGCACCGCTTGTTTAGTTTTCGGACAGTGCTGGATCTTTGGCTTGGAAATGGAGATGAGCACCGCTCCCTAGAGTCGGATTCGACTGGCCTTCGAGTAAGGGAAACCTTTATAAAAACATAGACAAGAAAGGAGGGCCAGTAAGGGAATGCCAAATTATACAAAAAGGTCTTCATCTGCTAGTGGAAGATAATGGTAGTGGTTAGAGTTGCTGAGCTTTGGATAATGCTATACAACACACAGATGTTTTGGTAAAGGAAATTTTGCAGACTGAAGAAAATTAAATCAGTCCATAATTTGTTTACATTTGTAGGTTGTTTATGTGATGGGTTCCCAGTGTGGTGGCCATAGGTGCCGTGGTGCCTTGAATGTTTTTAGAAAGTGGGTGGGGCTTTTTCAATTTCTTATACTTATGGTATTATGCTGACAGTGGCCTTATGTAAAGTACATTACCTAGGCAAATAGCTGAATGGTATTCTAAAATCACAGTGAGACTTACTTCTGGGTAAAGATAATTTGGTTATATGGCTAAAATGCTTAATGCACATAATTGGAATCTAACAACAAAGTTTCTTAACCTAATAAAACAAAATAAATGCACTGGGACTGAGATTGAAGAACTGGAAGGGAGAAGCAACAGAAGGCATTAAGACCATCAATGTAGAAATTTCTCCCTAAGAGACATTACCTCCAGAGCTGATCCAGTTTTGCTTCTTCTCCAAGAATGTCCTTCAGAACAGTTCTGGTTGTCTTCCTCTTTATAAAATAGTAAAAAGCCCAGTAACACTTCTTTAAGACTAACAAACTTTATTGTAGTATAACTTTCCAGAAACACTGCTCTCTTCATCAGATGCATGGAGGGTATGAAGAAACTGGCCAGAGATATTAGGTGGTTAGGGGAGAAGATGCAGAAAGTGCTGTGTGAATGCGCAATCTAGGCTGGGTATGACCCTTCTGTTGATGAATCTGAATGGAATACCTGAAAGGCAGTTACTTTTATTAATAAGATAACTATCCAAAGTCTCTATTCAATCCAATTCTGACTGAGTCAAATTTACATATGAATTCCAATTTAGTAGCTTCCCATTGGATTTTGAAATGTTTCTGTTGAATTATGGTGACCTTTAAGTCCTTGATGGAATGTCCTGGTAGATTGAAGTGTTCTATTGGTTTCTGGATATTGCCATTTTGATTGCCATTTGTGTCCATTGATTCTTTTGCGCAGAGGTAGACTGGTTTGCCCTATGTACAGAACAGAGGGGCATTGTTGGCATGTGAACAAGCAGACCGTCATAGATTTCAAGCAGATGAAAGTTCTGGTTCCAAACTTCTTGAATCTATCTTAGAAAATTAAAAGGGGAATTTGTGATATGTTGAAGGATGCAGTTCTGTGCAGTTACTTAGGAATGTCCCAGTAAACTGACTGGGATTTTTTTCTAAGCAGATATGCATATGATCAGGCAATATCACTGAAGCTCCCTTTCCACTGGTTTTGGAAAAGCTTGTTACTAGGAAATTAGCAGAAAATATAATTTAATTAAAAACTTGCTAGATAGTACTAGAACAGGGTCAAAATGGGCTGCTTGTTGTAGCACTGCTGTGTTTTCTCTTCACCCTTTCTTTTCCTGCGTGAGAAAATACTTTGATGAAAGGTATCCACAAATAAACAAAAAATCCACCAGAGTTGCTTTTGAGGCAGAAGGTGTCAAAAAACGAAAGAAAAAGGCTTAAAGGTACAGTGAAGTAAATTCATTTGCCTTAATAGGCAATATTTGTTTATTTAGATTATTTTTATGCTGCCTCTCTGGGAACCTACTCAGAGAGGTTTAGAAAATAAAAAGAATGAAACTAAACATCAAAAGATATTAAATAAAATCCAGCATTAAAAACCCAGCTCAGCATTAAAACTTAGACCATAAAAACAGACTATTGGCAGCTTAAAGAAATAGTTTCCAGGATGAAATAGTATTAAAAATCAACTCCTTAATTAAAAACCTGGGTGAGCAGAAATATTTTGGCTTAGTGCCTTGAAGAAAACAATGTAGCCACCAGGTGAGTCTCAAGTGGAAAAGCACTCCGTAAATGAGATGCCATTACTGAGCTCTGTCGTTGGTTGCCACCTGCTTCACCTCTGAAGGCAGGGGCACCAAAAGCAGGGCTTGTGAGGCAGATCTTAATTGCCATGTTGGTCAATAAGGGAGGATGTGGTACTTCAAGCACCCTGGCCCCAAGCCATTTAGAGCTTTAATGGTAAGATCCATCATTTTAAATATTGCCCAGAAAAATAATCAAGATGGAAAACTGGAAAATAAGAATCCTTTTTCATATCAGAATTTGTGGCAAATTGATTGTAACCTTACATTGTCAGAAAGTAGCTGGTCACAAATCTGGAGGTTGAATACGTTTTCCTCGCAGATGATAAGTGTGAGAACCCAAATGTTCAAGATTCTGGCTCACTGGTATTTAACACCACAAAGACTCTTGCATATCTTTGCATCATATTCACCACTCTGTTGGAAGAAATGTGGACAGGTAGGAACCTCTGTGCACTGATGGTGGCAATGTGAGAGAATTAAGCAGTTCTGGCAGGCAGTGTTAGATCAAATATTTGTAATAACTGGTTATGAAGTGTCCCATACCCCTGCAGTAGTATTTTTGAATTATTGGGCTGAAGTGTCAGTGCTGCAGATTAGAAAGAAATTTATTTCCATCCTTTTAGTGGCAGCAAAATGCTATAGCTACTACTTGGAAATGTTCAGATCCACCAACCCTTGCCTTATATCAGAAGATATGGGAGATGTATATAATGGAAAAACTTTTATATCAAATTAGTATGAGTTAAACCCACCTCACAGTGACTTTGCAGGTGTGATTTATTCTACTGGATTATCTGTTGCAGCTTGAAATAGTTCCTAAAAACTCAAAATCCTTACTCTTATTAAGGATATGTATACTGTATGTATGGCATAAGCACTGTTTTATGATGTCACCCTTTCTAAATGAATATTGCATTAGTTATATGTGTAACAATGTCAAATGTGTATTCTAGTGTACTGTTTATAGTATTGATTTGTTTTAATATTAGGATGTTATTGCTTTATGTGTGGAAATAGAATTTTAAAAAAAAGATGGAAAAGTTCTTTGCCACTAGCAAGTTGAGTGGTTTTGTGGAACAAGGGATTAAAATAGTCCCTTTTCTGTTTAAAATGGAGAAGCTGCTTGTGGAAACCTGGTATTTTAAAGGAACTCCCTTATTAGCAAACTCAGACCTTTGCAGAGTACCATGGAGGAAAATCATGCTTTAAATGCAAGATTACTGCCTGATTACATGCTTGTTTATTCAGACTCTCATTTGGTTGGAATTTAGAATCCATCACTGCCTTCTGCTGATGGTTACAGATCTTTTTTCTTGTCCCTGTACTCCCAGTGGCCCCATCTGACCCCAGGAAAGTTGATGCCAATGGTTGTGGCAACTGCATGGACTGAGTACCACTTGGGTTGGGAGGTTGCAATAAGAAGGGAGCAAAGTCACTCTCCCATCAGCAGATAGTGAAGGGAGATTTTGCTTCCTTCCCTTTCTGCCTATAGCTTCCTGACTTGTATTGTAATCGGTCCACATAGGTCCCTCAATCCATGAATCAATGCACTGACAATGCTACTGTATTGAATTTGGCTTGCTTCTGGGGAAATTTGTGAAGTCCTGTAGACTTACAGGAAGTATAAGAAAAATACAAGGAAGTGGAATTTCTGAAATCTTACTGAATCTCATAAAATTTGCTTGTATTTGTATATTTGTACTGAGGTATGAAGTCCAGCAGTGCAGGCCTATGAGCAGTTTTGCATGTTTACGTTTTACTTTTGATAAATTACATGCTGCTTAATTTCATTTAAAGACTGTATGAAGTAAAACTGTATGAATCTCTGCTGTTAGAGTAAAATATTAAACACTTCAGAGTAAAATATTAAACACTTATTTTTTAGGTCCTGGAATCTTGACCCGGACACTACTCAATGCTGGTTCCCAAGTGATAGCACTAGAGAGCAATAATGCCTTTCTTCCTGATCTGGAGGTACTTTTTAATTATTTAAATGAGCAATGGAACTTATGAGCATTCGTAATTAAACATAAGGTTCCAGCATCTCTGCTTAAAGTGTCATCATAGAAAGGCTGGAATGATTGCTCTGTAGAGATGCTTTTCTCCAAATAAACAATATTGGATTGACTAATGGTTGATGTGATGTAGTTCACACATTTATGTAACCTTCTAATTGTTCACTTTTAGTCTCTAAAGAGGAAATTAGACGGGCAACTGGAAGTGGTGCATTGTGATTTCTTCAAACTGGACCCTGTTGGTTTGGGATCACTGAGACCTCCTGTTATGTATTCTGAGAGACTTCTTGAGAATTTGGGCATCCTGCCTGTTCCTTGGACAGCAGGTAAATCATAATTTGTATGCATATGTGAAGGCAATGGCAAACCACCTCTGCTCTTCTCTTGCCTGGAATGCCCTCATGGATGGGGTCATCATGAGTTGGTTTCAAATTAATAGCCTGTACTTTGTGGATGAACAGTTGAGAGCAATTTTTAAAAATTATTTGTTCTGTTTGTATCAGATTATTCTCCATTTGACTGACTCAAAACAGGCTTCATTCAGAAGTATGTCCATACATTAGAATAGTGGTCTTCAAACCGTGGGTCAGGATCCAAAAGTGTGTCATGACTGTTTCATGGGCTGTGAGACTGGGAAGGAGGAGAGAGAAAAGGATAGGTTGAAAGGATAGGCTGTGCAGTAAATTTGAGTTTCTCTTTGCTTAATATGTGAAATGGTGTAGTGGTGACAGTGTTGGACTCGGATCTGGAAGACCCAGCTTCAAATCACCCGTCAGCCATGGAAGCTTGCTGGGTGATTTTGGGCTAGTCACATACTCTCACCCTCACCTACCTCACAGGGTTGTTGTGAAAATGAAATTAAAAAGGGGGAAATATTGTAAGCCACTTTGGGGCCCCATTGGGGACAAAAGTAATAAATGAAGTACATAGGTAAGTAAATAATGCTTTATATTCATAATATTAAACATGAAAAATAAGTTGTGAGTACATTGTTGAGTGAAGTAAAATTCTTGTGTTTTGCATGGGGAGGAGGAAAATATTTTGAAGTTACTTTGCAAGTGGGTCCCAAAAAACAAGTTTTGAAATGGTTCTGTTTTTAAAAGTCTGAGAACCTCTCCATTAGAGCAATAAAACAGTGAAATAGCAACCATTAAAATGCCACCAGTTAAAGCATCCTTTCAGTTCACCAAAAGCCCTTTGGAAGAAGACTGTTATGATGAACCCCCATTTCTTCTTTACTGTGAGGCAGATTTTCCCACCAAAATGCTGTTCCCCACTCTGACTGAGCAGCCCCTTAATAGTGTATTAGAATTATAACTTTCTGTGTGTCCCACCCTGTGATAGAAAAGTTATTGGGCTTTTGACCAGGCCAGAGATTTATTGTAGCTAAGCAGGCGCCCTTTTATAAATTCCCTTTGTAAATGGCACTTGACACAAAGTAAACTTCAAACAGGAATGTTGATTTTATTGAACAGGCACAGTTGGGTTAGGGATAGGCAGGGGATGAGAAATCGCTCTTCTCCCCCCCCCCCGCCCCCGCACCCAAACCCCCCCAACAATCACCAGCCAGGAGCCACAAACCCACTGCCAACGCCCAGCAAGGGCACGCCGGCATCCTTGCAGTGCGCCTCTTCCGCTTGGGGCCCAGAATTTCTGATGCTGCACAGCACCGAGCACACTGCTGCGTGGGACTGTTCAATGGGGAAAGATAGGAAGACTCGCAGGGCGTGGCTGTACCAAGGCACACGGGCTCTGCCCTCAGTCTTGGCGTGGTGATCGAAATCTGTGCTTCGGCACCCGGACGAAGAGTGGGGCTGCTCCTGCGGTTGGAATTGGCTAGAAAGACCCAACAGGGGGATAGTTCAGGGGCAGCTCCCAGGGAAAGCGTGAAATGCCCCGCTGGATCTGCCAGGTACTGCAGGAGGCCAGTTTAGGACCCACCCACCTGGGAACGCCCGCCCTGCATGTGGAGGTTTCTGAAGGCCAAACAGCAGCCCTAAGGAGCTAGGCGGCTCCCCCTAGCCCTTGACCTGCGATCAAAGCCCAGCGTGCTTCTCCTCTCCCTGCCCACGCTGACCTTTGCCCTCATCTGTGATTCTCAGAATCTGCTCCGATGGCTTTTAAAGGGGCAGAGTGTGCTTGGGAGAGAGAGTGCGGCTTGGCTTTGGTTCCAGAGAGGTGCTGGGCGATTTAGAAAAATGTGCCACCAAATCCCATGGGACCCCAGCCTGGCCCAGCTGCTGCTGCCTCCTCGGGGAGGCGCAGCCTGCGCTGCTCCCACTTAGCCACCAGCCAGCCGGCCAGCATGCCTTGGATCAGTAGCTTTGCGCACCCCTGCGGTCGGGCTCCCTCCTACTTAACCTGCTGCGACTGGGGGGGGGGAGGGGCAGGGAGTGGCCAGGCCAGCCAGGAAGGTAATGGGAGGGCCAGCGCAGGGCCGTGCATGGGAGGCTGCTGGGAATAAATGCAACGTCCCTGTCAGCGGGCTGAGTGGGCTTGGCAGGCAAGCAAGAGCTTCGGGCATGGCAGCACTCAACGGGGCAATGGAGAAAGGGCAGCCAGAGAGGAAGGGGCCCCTGTGGCTGCCTCAGCCCATTAAGAGCCTGGAGGTCCAGTACACCAAAGTAAGATGACCAGGGGGAGGAAGGCCACCTACTTACCTTGGGGAGCCTCTGAGGACACTGAGGCCTGGTCCCCCACTGTGTCCCCCCTCCCCAGACCCCGGAGTTGAGGGGCAATAGAACGCCCTGCCGGCAGCTCCCTGCAGACTGAGGGTGAGAGGCTGGCCGCCGGTTCTGTGGATGGGACTGAGGCAACGCTGCAAGGCAGTGAAGCCAATGGATACAGACCCGTGGTGAGTGACACATCAGGGAGCCAACTGATTTCGGCGCGCATCAATTCTTGCCACCCTAAAACAGGATTATTATATATTATAATATTTTGAATAGGCAACAGAGTACAGTTGAAGCTTATTTTCTTAGAGACTTAGTTCTTAACTGTGAGAGGTTTGTTTATCTTGGAAATTCCTTTCAGCAACAATGTATCTTAATAACGTTTTATATAACTATCTTAGTTTCCTGGAAGTTAGTACTTTCTTCCTGTATTTAAATGCTTCCTTGTGGGATTACA